CCCAGCATGGTGTCTTCTATAAGAACATAGAAACGCTGGGTTTATCGACCAGGCTGACATTCGCCTTTCTAAGGTCAGCCGGGCTTAAGTCAGAGACCGAGGGATTCATTATGGCCTGCCAAGATCGTGTTATCAACACCTTGGTCTGCCGTAGCCGCGTGTGACGTGTAGAGGTTCCTGATATCAACTGCAGGACCTGCCATCAGACGCCGGAATTTATATACTACAATCTAAGGCACTCGTACGGGATAGACCAGACACCAGTGCTGCCTTACGTCCCCAGAGATATTGAGTCCGTTGTCGAGAACGAGAAATGCCGGATTTACTGGAACTACTCGTTCCCGACTGTCAAGCTAATCCAAGCCAACAAGCCTGACATAGTCCTCCTCGACCATCAACTCAAGGTGATGTATGTCATCGAGTTCTCGGCACCTGCAGAGAAAAACATCAGCTTGAAGGAGGAGGAGAAACGGACCAAATATCGTGATCTCCGGTACGAGCTCCAAGTGCTGTACCCAGGCTACTCGGTCAAAATGGTCGTCCTTATTATCGGTGTACTCGGAGGGATAAAGCCTACGCTGCTCTCGGAACTGAAGATCATACCGGCCTGCCAAAAACCAGCCGAGTGGCTGGCAGGTCAAATGCAGAAGGCGGTCATTCTGGGTTCTCTCCGTCTGCTTAGGGCACACGATTCTGGTATCCACAGTCACTAACCCTACGGGATGTGGGGAGTGGCTGTAGTTGATGCACCGGCGCAACTTCTGTGAGGCGTCGGAGGCCACGGGAGGACTGACCGGCATCGGATATTCCGAAAAAAAAGTAATAATAATAATAATAATAAAAATAAAAATTCCTTAAGCAAGAAAAAATAAAAGAACGAAGAAAGAGTTAGATATGGTTTATTTGTTTTCGATTGCAGTTTACATGCAATAGGTAATTTTAAAGTCTAATATAAAATTGCAAAGACCGAGGTAGAAACTCTCATCTTGAAGAGACAAATACATAATTTTATTAATAGCTATTACTAAGATAAGAAATGTTATTTACCTACTGCAATTATTAAGTCAGAACTTGCCTCACTATCAGATATCATATTATTTCAGTGGCGAATAAAGTTTGAATGTTTCTATCGCCTTTATTGGCACATGTTAATTGAAAGAGCCAATACAATTAATTTGTTTTTTTAGGGGAACAAAGCGGACCAGTGCAGCCAGAAATAAAAATTTAAGACTTAAATATACCACAATAAATAATTTAGTATACCTGTTCTACAGTTATTTCATTACTATTGAAAAAAAGTAAAATAGAATATAAGTAGTGTTAAAAATAATCAAATTAAGTCATTTAACTAAATAAAAGATGTTTCAATAAGAGCGCAAGATTTGAATTGCGCGCCAGTTTGGCTGTCATGATGTCACAAGTATTATGACATGCCAGGTCGATAAGTGACAGATGGGACTTAATAAACATGGAGCATTACACGATAGAAGAACGCGTCGTGATTGTTAAATATTATTATCAAAATGGTGAAAGTTTGAATGCCACAATTTGTAAAGTGCGTCCAATTTTCGATCGTAATAATGTTCCTCATTTATCTACTGTAAAAATAATAATCGAAAAATTCGAAAGTACTGATCTGGTTAGTGATGTGAAACACACAACACGAGCTCGTAGAGGTCGTTCAGAACAAAACATCACGGCAGTTCGCGAGAGCGTGGCCGAAAGTCCAGGGACGTCGATTCGTCATCGTGCACAAGAATTGAACGCCACAACAGCCATTCTTCAGCGTTTTCTCACTAAAGATTTGGATCTCCATGCCTACAAAATCCAATTGACTCAACAATTTCTGCTAACAGACCATGCACAGCGAAGAGATTTCATCAATTGGATCCTTGAACAACAAGTGAATGCTGATTTTGCGGACAAAATCATTTTCAGTGATGAGGCCCATTTTAACCTCGATAGCTTCGTTAATAGGCAAACAGCCGCATTTGGGGCTCAGAAAATCCACGAATGATTCATGAGAAAGCAATGCATCCAAAACGTGTCACAGTTTGGTGTGCATTGTGGTCTGGAGGAATCATTGGGCCGTTTTTCTTCGAAGACGAGGCAACTAATGCAGTAACGGTGAATGGCGAACGTTATCGTGCTATAATAACCCAGTTGTTTGTGCCTCAATTGGAAGATATTGCTCTCGACGACATGTGGTTTCAGCAGAACGGTGCCACTTGCCATACTGCCCGTGAAACATTGACGGTCTTGCACGAGTCTTTTCCTGGTCGTGTGATCTCTCGGTTTGGTGACCTGAATTGGCCGCCACGCTCTTGTGATTTAACATCTTTGGACTTTTGGCTGTGGGGTTATCTGAAGTCACAGGTTTATGCCAACAAGCCCGCGACCACCGAAGCATTGAAGGCCGAAATTAGACGCTATATCAGAGAAATACCGCCACACGTATGCAACACTGTTAGTCAAAATTTCGCCAAAAGAGTACGAAAGTGCCAGCAAAACCGTGGCGGCCATTTACCAAATGTGTTGTTCCATACATAACTCCCAAATGTCTACATTATAACTCAATAAATATTTCAATACTTTGCTACAGAAAACCATGTTTTATTGAACCTTGAAATATTGCGCACTTATTGAAAGTCACTTAAAATGTGTCCAAGATAAAGCAAATGCCCGATAATAAACAAATATCCACCTTATATACGCGCTGAAACATAGAGTCGTTTTTCGGTTGACAAAGACATGATAATGTGAATCTCCCTCGCATCTCCACAGGGAAGTAATTCAGGGACGGACCGGCCCGGTCGGCAGGTCAGAATTTGCCGACGGGGCCAAAACTTTTGGCGGCCAAACCACAAAACAAACGTTTTTTAATTTTTCTTTTTTTTAGAAAATTATTTACTGATAACGAAATTAATAGTTATCTGCGTTACAAATCCAGTAAATGAAGCTACGTTTTGATGTTTTATTATCTTAATAAGAAAAAATTCCGGCAAACTTTTACCGGCTCTGATACTATATTAACGCACTTACCGGACTGAAATTAATAACGTACGCAAGGATTTACTGTACTGAAATAAAAGTATTTCCCTGGCCTCCGCGTATTTGTGATGGTACTGATGGTGCATCTGCAGATCCGTTAACTGAGTTCAACGACTATTTTAAATATTCTTATATTACATCAATACATTACTCTCGGAGACAACCATAGAAACATACATGATGCTGCAAAGTTTTTACACATCTTTTCCAGTTTGTGATAACATAGCTAGTTAAGAGGTTAAGCTGTGCATACATCGTTAGAAATTGAGACAGTTTATTGCTTTTATTACTAGCTAATTTCTTTTATTACACTTATTATGATGCGTACACCTATGTCCTGCGGTGCATTTTTGCCAACTGTATCGATAAGTCGCCAGCTTTCTGCGAAACCATATACTAGGAATATAATATCTCCCAATGAGTAGGTGTGGATGTAAACGTTCATAATTGTAATTTTCTTGTTGTTATAGTTAAAAAAAAAAATGTTTAACACCCTGTACCTTTTAAACGAAGCATTTTAGGACATTTGTTCTTAGGAGCTTTTTTTTGTTTAGAATAACTTTTTACACAATCAAACCGGGACGGGGAAGGGGGTTTGCGGATAAACCGTCCATGGTTCTTTTTACCATATTATCATGAGCAATGCTATAGTCATTAAGCAGAGCTGTGGTGTTGTAATGGATGTCACGTTTTGTAATACCAGTGACATAAAAACATTAAAAATATACCATTCTTGCAAGTAGTACATATGGCAAATTCTCGATTTCTTAATACTAAAGTTTATCAAAAAATACTTTCCACCGAAGATAATATCAACAAAATTAAATCGCAATAAATCAATCTGACGTTAGATAATCAAATAATATTAACATTTTAATATCACTCATATTTATCTATAGATACCTATAAAAAATTACAATTTTTATATAAAACGTACGAAAATAGAAAATAACAAATTAATTTGTAAGTTTCCTCTAAGATTTTTTATACCACGGATAACCTGTTTGTATTATTAGTCGTTTGTATTTTGAATTAACAATTAGACGCCTTACAATTTTTTAAGTTCATCACATAAAATTAACATAATATATTGGAAAATACACAATATGTTCAATAATAAATTTAACAAATTTGTTAGAAAATATTTAGCATATTAACTTTCTTATATGATGGCATTCAACACATCGATCTGTTTTGATTGATTTTAGTTCAAGGAAAGTTAACCGATTTGAATCCATACCACCAAAATGACCTGGTGTGCGTAGGAACCTTTGATGTGAAAATAACACCGACGTAGTTTTCCACGAAACATCAAAACAAGATATACTGCATTCGACGCGCGTTTCGTCAACCAAGTTGGCATCAACTGGAGACGATTAAAACTAACCTTAAACAATATACTCTATTTATACCTAAACTATTGCTACGGTTCAGTGAATCCTGAATCACTAACCAATAGAGCGGACTATATGGGATCGATCCTGTCACTATTCATGTTATTTTTACACTTTGTAATTTTTAAGCTCTCAAATGCATGCATTTATTACATTCCTAATTATTAATCCTAAATTGCTACTATCTCTTTTATGATTGTTCTCAAACGCATGTTGGGCAACACTAGAATTATCTGCTGTACCATATTTGAGATGAACCGTATGTTCCTTGAATCTAGTTTAAATTGATGGTCTAGTTTGTCCAACATACTTTTGATTACAGTCTTTTTAGCTAATTTCATACATCCCCTACTTTCTGTTTGTTTCAATTTTGTCTTTTGGATTTCCTAAAAGTTGATAATTAATTATTAAACACCACAGGTAATACAACCCCCCTATATCCCTGAAGGTACCTCAAGTTACTTTGTGTGGGAGAGGGCTATACATTTAGAGACAATGGACACACACCCAATGTTCGAGGATGCTAGGACTGATTTCTGGTTTAGAAAAAAAATCTAGCTTCTTGGGGGATCGAACTCTGGACCTCAGCGTGTGAGGCAAGTGTCCTTACCACTCGACCACGAAGCCACACGTGTTGTAGTTTATTTTCCGATAAATGAACCACTGTCATGCCTATATCTTTAAAAATGTTACCACGGGTGAATTTAGGATCGTATGGAATCGATATAAATTTCTTTCATTTTGAAAGGTCGAGGAATTTCGAAGGTTAATTACAAATGAACAAATACTAGACAGCTGGATGCATTTGAAAGCTTGAAAATTACAAAGTGTAAAAATAGTATGAAAAGAGCCAGAGGGCCAATCCCATGAGTCCGTTCTATTGGTTAGTGATGACGCAAACTTGGTTGACGAAACGCGCGTTGAGTGCAGTGTATGGTGTTTTTGTGGAAAACTACGTCAGTGTTGTCTTAACCTTAAAGGTTCCAACCCACTTCAGGATAACATTTTCATATAACACTGCAGTAAATATGATAATGATATAATATGATATATAGGCTCTTAGGTAAATACAAGGTAAAATTTCAATTTCTGTGGTAAACATTAGATGTCAATCATATATGAACGTAAGTGACACGTGATGACATAACAATAAGATAATAATATAACACTTATGTAAACATTATGTAACATTGTTTGCTGGGCTACATATTATGGACTTGTGACAAGAGGGTATTTTTAAAACAAAATTGAATGCTCTTTCATATGTTTGAAGAAAAAATTGAAAAATTCCAGTTGACTAATATTTATTTCAATAAAAGGACGCATAGGTACCCCTCTACGCAACAATATTAAACGATATATTTTAATGTTAAACTATTTGCACTCAAGTATTTAAGTCTTTTACAGCAATATCATGATTTTATTTTAAACAGGTATTTTTACCACTGTGTATTTTTACATTAAAGAGAAAATACAAAATTTCAACACCCTGTATCTCACAAACGAAGCGTTTATATGACCATTGTTTATTATAGAAACTTTTCTTCTTAAAAAAAGGGTTCTATCAACTGTTAAAGCCCTGCTATAAAAAACTGATTCACAATGCAGAAACATATACACATTAAAAAAATTAACACTTCAATCTAGTGGGACATCCCCATTGCGAGATAAGCAGTTTAGTTTGTGTATGCATACAGCGCCACCGTCGGCGTCGGTTTGAAACGATAAGTATCTACGAGTATATCTATACCTATTCCCTTAGATTAGGAATTTCCTAATCTAAGCCTATTCCTTACTTTTTCCCTATATAGGTATGTCTTTATACTATGCCATGGGTATACTTAATACTGAGAACCTTCTACTTGTAACGAATATAAAATGTTTTTGAAAAAGTTTAACCTGGCAACGATTGTTTGAGTTCAAGTTCAACATTTACAAACAATAACACAATAATTAAATAATTTGTTTAAAATTTAATATAAATATTATGAATAAAATCATTATCTTTAGGTAACCTGGATAGTATAATATAGGTATAGTAGGGTAGATAATCTATACATTATTTTATTATATACATATAAATTAATTTTTTGATAAATAAACGAAAAATCCATATTATGATGCAATGGGTAGAATCATCAATTCGAAAATTACTTAGAAAATCAGTCTCGCCTGCATTTCAAACGTGTTCAACTTCACGTCCCGTTTACGGATATATGAAAATATGAATAAACAAACGGGTAACATGTCATCATTTTAGTCGAATACTAATCTCACGCGTACGTCACCAATGCTTTAGACCAACCACAACGTAGCATAGTTGGAAATACAGATGGATTGGATACCATCGTGTAACCGAACAAGTACGATTTCGTTTAATCTTGACATGTTCAAATGACAGCTCTTGAGCCTCACAGCTGATGGTTTACGTGGAAGCCCACTGTTCGATAGCAAAATTTTCAGTGTAAAGTAAAAGGTATCTCCCCGGCTCGCAAGCCGTCATTAATATTATTATTTTATTGTCGAGATGTTCTTAAATAACATAAACAATGTTATTACAAAGTGTTTCAAATGTGATTTTGTGTGCTGTAGTGTTTAACCAGTGTCTAGCTTATTTTAACCTAGAAAAACACGACGATTGTTTTTGTCAGTTATCAGGAAAAATCGACGAATGCACTTGTAATATCGACACCGTCGATCATTTTAATAATGTGAAAATTTACCCGAGGCTGAAGAGTTTACTTGTGAAAGATTATTTCAGATTTTATAAGGTACCTACTGACAAATAAATTAAAATACTTTCTCAGCAAATTTCACCCAGACATTCTGGGTATAAATTAATTAATTATTGTTATTCTACTTTAAACATTTCAAATTCAATGTCATGTTGACACTCGCATTGACCATTGACACTTGAAATCAAACTTGAGGATTATTTGATTCTTTCGTTTCTGCTTTCATGTTTGTTTATTTTTCTTCGTTTGTTTTATAATTCAAGTTCCCGAAATTAGATTTTAATAAAAATTAATTATTTATGTAGATGTTATAAATTAATGAAGTAATATCTAAAATGAAACAGTAACATAATTACAAATTTTCCTGGTTTTTTTCTACCTCAAAAGTTCTACAACTGTTAGGTATAATAAGGGCCGACTATGAATTTTATAATCCCTAAGTTATATTAATTGACTATTTTTGTTTTATTCATATTTTTTATACCTGATCTTTTCGTTTCGTTTTGTACAGGGTGATCAGCTGAAAATTTTACTTTTTAAACCCATTTCTTATTCTTAAAAATATAGCTAGAAAAAATGAATCGGTAACCTACTTCATCAAGGAATATGCCATGTTTTTTTTAAATGGAACTGCATATTTTTAGATTCCTGAAAATTTTAGATTTAGATATTTTCCTCCTCATTAATATATACGATTGTTTTAGATCTGATGTTCAAGTAACTGAGTTATTCAAATAAATACACCAATCTATATACAAAAAAAAAGTTTACGGTATAAATAATTTTTTAATAAAATTAACAATTTAAAAATATATTACAACATACACAAAACAAGCAAAAATTACACCACGTTTTTAAAAATTCCACCATTATTTTCCAAACAAAGATTTAATCTTTTATCTACGTTTTTCTAATCTGTTATATTTTCTGGCTTATTATTTAAATTTTTTGTGTCAGTTCTTCTAAATTTATTAGGTGTAGGTAGGTATCTTTATATATTCAATTTTTAATTGTACCATATAAAAAATCGAGAGGGTGTTATAATGTACTCTATTCATTTTTCAGCTCAAAATTTTTATTATTTGATATTCTACATCAAACCCCTATATACTGACGACCTTATCGCTGAACTGGTGGATTTTCAGAAATCCAAAAGTGCTCATTTTTTCTATTAACTAAGGCCCGATATACCCGTCTTCTGATAGAGTGGCTGTTAGTTACCAAACAAATTTGTATTAATTATTACGACTCTGCTTTTGCAAAAAACTGATCACAGCGAAGTATACTCTCATACGGAATTACGTTCTGCAAAAATAGGTAAAAATTACTATTATTTTACTGGTTTAACAATTTTATTCTCAAATTTATCTGTTCGGTAACTTTACCAGGAGGTGAATAGGTATACCGGCCCTAATCCAGATAAAGTAAAATTAGTCTAGTCTGTGAAAAATGAAATTATGGTCATGTTCTAATCTTGCTAATATATTATTGCAAAAATGCATACATGTTTCTCGTAATCGTTAACACTCAATTTTTGGACCATACTAAATTTATATGATGTATTGATGTACCTATTTTTTCTCGAGTGCATTTTGAATATATCCGTAAGACATTTCAAGATCTCGTAGGGTGAACTGACCAGTGATTGAACGGTAACCAGTGAATGAACAAAGTTACCTTATTTCGCTTTTATTAAGGCTCTTTTTCGTTAAAATACATTCCCTATCCTTTTTTAACTCGACTACGCATATGCAGAATATCGTTCCTTCACTAGAATACTCTGAAGTTGTTTGAGGATTGTCAAAAATAATTTTAAATGGTGTTGTGCTGAGTGACCAGAGATTTCGTTGCCATTGTTTTAAGGTGAGTGCATGCATGCCTTATTTTAATAAAGTGATTTTCAGAGTTTTGCACAACCATACATATAAGATTTATGCAGAAACCTGTTGTACTTATATCTTAAATCAAGTTTGTTAATTCAAAATAAGAATTACATTTACCTGGTAACGGTTTTTTTAGCTTGTTTCATTACTGGAAAAGAAAAATTCAAATTTCTAGTAAATGAACGGGCGTTCATTTACTGGTATTTTTAACATTTATTTGAAATTGCGCAAAAATGAACCTTAAGATATATTAAAATACGGGCACTCAATAAAATAGCTTCAATTTAAGAATAATCCACAGAAACCAGTAAATGAACAGGACTTTTTGCTGTTCAATAGCTGGACATTGCATCGTTCATTCACTAGAAATTACACAATAATAGGGGGTTTTATTACATTTTGCACCCACTTTGTTTTTATTTTATGTCAGATGGGGCGCGACAAGCAGAAATACACGCGATTTAAGTATTCCGAAGAAAACCTAGCGTTAGCCTTAGCAGCGGTAAAGTCAGGAAGCATGAAACTGAGTGACGCCGCTAAAAGATTTGACGTTCCAAAATCGACAATCCACAATAAAATTAAAGAAAAGGTACCGAATATTAGAAAAATGGGTCCTGCACCTGTTTTAAGCACAGCTGAAGAAGATCGCTTACAAAACTGGATTCTTTCGAAGGCAAAGTTGGGCTTCCCAATGCATCCAAACGAAGTGAAAGATGCTGTTCAGAAAATTTTGAAAACAATTGGACGCATTAATCCATTCGTAGACGATAGGCCTGGAAATAAATGGTTGCATTTATTTTTGAAGAGAAATCCTAATATTTCAAAGAGGAACACCGAAATTATTTCGAAATCTCGAGCATCGGTTACAGAATCTGCGATACGGGAATGGTTTTCGGAACTGAGAACCTTTCTGGAAAATGATAACATATTGGATATGATGAATGACGGTTCCCGAATATTTAATGCAGACGAAACTGGGGTTCGAACTTGTACAAAATCTGGTTTGGTT